AATTTGATCCCTTGTGTGTGTGTGTGTGTGTGTGTGTGTATGTGTGTGTGTGGGCGCGTGTGGCTAAACAAGTGTAAATGTGTACATAGTAGTGATAGGTTGCAGAACAGACGATTGAAAACTGTTATCTCTCTTTAATGATTCAAAACCTTTTACTCCGTGTTTTAAAATCAATTTTACTCATTGTCAGTGTGTTAAAGTAAATGCTGAAAGTGGCTGCCATTTACTTCCTGATAATATGCCAATCTTTGATAGAATGCAGAAATGGCTCTATGATTCGTTTCAAAAGGTATCAAATCTATTTCATCCCTTATTCGCTGTATCAATTTTTGGATGCTTTCAGGTTTTGTTTTGTAAACCTTACTCTTCAGGCATCCCCATAGATAATAATCAAGAGGAGTTAGATCTGGTGACCGAGATGGCCAATCTTCTCCTCCCTCATTTCTGTTCCTTCTTTCTATCCACCGTAATGGAAAACTCTCATTTAAAATTTGACGTGGCCGTAAACCAAAATGAGCAGGAGCTCCATCATGCTGAAACCATATTTCTTCGAAATTATTTGGAAAAATATTTCGTATGGCTGGAATTATTTGATCTACAAGTAATCTCTCATATCTTTGAGCGTTCAGATTTAAAAAAAAAAAACGGCCCTGTTAAGTAGCCGTCTATTATTCCACACCATACATTAATTTTTTGTGGATATTGTGTGTGAGTTTCCCGCACCCAATTTGGATTCTCATCTGACTAGAAACGAAAATTTTGATTATTAACTTCTTCCGTTAACGTGAAAGTTGCCTCGTCTGTAAAAACAATTTGATAAGGGAAGATGGGCCGGACATCTATTAGTGCCATCATTCTTTCACAAAAACCTATACGACGCTCCAGATCTCCGTCTTGCAATTCTTGAACATATTGTAATTTGTATGGATAGAACTTGTTTTTCTTTAAAATTCTCCAAACGGACTTGGGAGCAATATCGTGAATTTGAGCGGCTCTGTTAATAGTAGAATTGGGATCTTCAATAAATGTCTGCATAATATCAAGTTGTTTTTCTTCGTTAGTGGCAGACGATGATCTCCCTGATTTAGGGCGACTTTTTACACTACCAGTTTCTCTAAAACGTTCTATTGTTTTTAAGACAGTGGACTTATTAATTCGACGATTCGGATACGTCTCATTAAATAATCGAGCGACAGCAGCGTACGATCGCTCGTTGTAACCCCATCCACGCATCATGAGGATAGTGATTCTTTCACGTTCCGACAATTCGCCAGCCATTTTTAAAACGTTTAATTTTTAATCTGCCTAAAATCTGTGAAAACAACTGATTTTGAGTAGCCGTGAGAACAACTGATTTTGAGTAGCCGTGAGAACAACTGATTTTGAGTAGCCGTGAGAACAACTGATTTTGAGTAGCCGTGAGAACAACTGATTTTGAGTAGCCGTGAGAACAACTGATTTTGAGTAGCCGTGAGAACAACTGATTTTGAGTAGCCGTGAGAACAACTGATTTTGAGTAGCCGTGAGAACAACTGATTTTGAGTAGCCGTGAGAACAACTGATTTTGAGTAGCCGTGAGAACAACTGATTTTGAGTAGCCGTGAGAACAACTGATTTTGAGTAGCCGTGAGAACAATTTTGAGTAGTCGTGAGAACAACTGATTTTGAGTAGTCATGAGAACAACTGATTTTGAGTAGCCGTGAGAACAATTTTGAGTAGTCGTGAGAACAACTGATTTTGAGTAGCCGTGAGAACAATTTTGAGTAGTCGTGAGAACAACTGATTTTGAGTAGCCGTGAGAACAATTTTGAGTAGTCGTGAGAACAACTGATTTTGAGTAGCCGTGAGAACAATTTTGAGTAGTCGTGAGAACAACTGATTTTGAGTAGCCGCGAGAATAACTGATTTTATGTAGCCGTGAGAACAATGTGAAAAACTTACCTCTATCTTGCCTTACATGGTAGGATCCTCCTCATTTATTTAAAATCAGTTGTTCTCACGGCTACTCAAAATTAGTTGTTTTTACAGATTTTAGGCAGATTAAAAATTAAACGTTTTAAAAATGGCTGGCGAATTGTCGGAACGTGAAAGAATCACTATTTTCATGATGCGTGGATGGGGTGACAACGAGCGATCGTAACGTAACAAAAGCATACTACGTTACGATTTTGTTTGTGCGTTGACTGAAGTTTAAGATTACGTACGAGTTTAGGTTTAGAATCAGTACTTAACGTAACGTACTGCATTACGGAAAAGCTTGTGCGGTGGCCCTAAGACGGTCTTGAAATAAGAACTGACTATGAATACCGGCCTATGAATACCGGCCATGGATTGATATTTTCATAGGGCGCGTTCCACTTAACGACCGCAACGCTCGCGAGCATCATCTGTCTTTGTTTAACACGTGGCCATCGGGATTTCTACAGGTAACATCCCCTGAGACACACCTGAAAGGAAGGATGATGAATACGACTCAATCATCATCCTGAAACATCGAGGGACTTAGGGTGTGTTCCGATATACACTGCCAGTACTGGCAGTGCTGAAAAATTGTTCCGTTATTAGCACGCAGTGTGCTGCGACAGCATCTAGTTCCATCAATGACGTCATAAATGGTAGCCATATTGCTACTGCGGTTACTGCAGCTCCCGAGGTGAAGCAGTTACAGTGCAACATGGCGTCGTGCAATAAAATAGAATTGCACTATAATTACTGCAAAGTCGTTCCGAAATATAAAATCATAATGCTACTGACAGTGCCAAAGTAATTTTGGAACGTTGCGGCAGTGAACTGTTATGACGTCATGGATGGTTGTAACGCCGGCAAAAAGGGAACACACCCAAAGATGAAATGATACCGTGAGCGTTGCGGTCATTAAGTGGAACGGACCCATGGCGGTCAGCCAATCAGCAAGCGGAACGCCATTGTCGCTTCTCTGATTATATAGAATTCTAGAAAAAATAAAGCTCTCATTGGATATCGCCCATCGTTCATCGCTCATCGCGTCCAGTGTGCGAGGGCCATATTACGCGGAAAATATCAGGGTATCAATCATGTAACTTTTCCCCTAGAGCGGAAAAGTGAAAAATTTTGATTTCAATGCTAATATTTTTCACTTTTCACGTTTCCGCCCTAGGGAAAAAATTACATGATTGGTACCATGATGTCAGCCAATACTTTTTAGTAATAAACAGATTTTATGATAACTGATAAATGTAATCGACAGGAAATCGTTTGTGATTTACAAATATACCAATGTTACGTTTGTGAATTGATAAATTTTTTAATTACGTGCAAAACAAGTTTATTTTATAATTGTAGTGCGCATGCGCAAAGTATGCACAGACTTTGGGACGCGTGACGATTTCCGCCACGCGTTAAGGTGCCTTTACATGGCAGCGTTAAGCGTCGAGCGTCTGCGCAGAAAAATGCGCAGAATTTAAACGAGATAGATTCTAGGCTGAAATTAGATTCTGCGCAATTCTCTGCGCAGACGCTCGACGCTTAACGCTGCCATGTAAAGGCACCTTTAGGCCGATATTACATTTGTCGTACGACAAACTTTTTAAGCGAGCTTCATAAAGTTAGCCGGTCAACATTCACTTTTATAATTTCTTTTTTACGAATCGTTTGTTGGTCGATGCCCTTTTCTACGTGGGCATCGGCCCCCACTCCTTAAATAAAGGCAAACGCTCGGTCTAGATATACTATGTCTATGGTTGGTTGTTTGTTGGTGATTGTTGGCCTAATTACAACGTTTGTTGATTAATATTTTTTTTTGAAAATACGAAAACAAAATTTTGTGTAAAGTTAAACGGAAAGATATTATTTTTGTTTCAAACTTAGTTCAATCGATGCGCAATCGTTTGTTGGTCACGGAAAAACTAATTAAAACGTTTGTTGGCTCATATTTGCCTTGAAAAACGAAAAAACTAATGCACTCTGATGGAACGGGGAGGGGGGGTGCAGTCGTTTGGAGTATTTCGTATGACGATGCCGTGACATATACGTGAAATTTTAAGTGCGAAAGAATACAGTACAATTATTAGTTGTTTACGGACAGCATGAAAAACACAGGTATGCAACAAAAAATCTGTATATAAATAATAAGGTTATTCTAATAGTTTTCTACCATAGACATATAGAATGGACAGAGTGTTGCAATACATTTTGATCAATTTTCATTTATCTGTCCCTACGCTTATTTTGCTTATAAAAATCCCTACAAATAGGAAAAAATCCCTACCAGTGGCAACACTGGTTGCAATAGACAAACGCGTGCTTGCTGTAGAAAGAGAGGTACTACATGGGAGGCCTGTTTTGTCTCTTTTCCTAGCATCTCATTGGTGAATTTGTCCCCTCCATATAGAAAAGCTCTCTTTGTGGGCAGGAGCCCTGAGTATACTTTGCGCATGCGCACTACAATTATAAAAAAAACTTGTTTTGCATGTAATTAAAAAATTTATCAATTCACAAATGTAACATTGGTATATTTGTAAATCACAAACGATTTCCTATTAATTACAGTTATCAGTTATCACAAAATCTGTTACTATAAAGTTCCGGCTAACATCATGACCAAACTAAAATTGCTAATTACAAAAAACCTAATTTGTCACAAACGTTGAGAACAGACTCACAATCAATCACAAACGATTTACAAACGAAATACATTCAGAAAAATTAAAAATAATCAGAGTGCACATCAATCGAATTCGCTATTGTTTGGTCATGATGTTAAGGTGCCTTAAAGGTACCTTTACATGGCAGCGTCAAGCGTCGAGCGTCTGCGTAGAAAATTGCGCAGAATCTAATTTCAGCCTAGAATCTATCTCTTTTAAATTCTGCGCATTTTTCTGCGCAGACGCTCGACGCTTAATGCTGCCATGTAAAGGCACCTTAACGCTGCCATGTAAAGGCACCTTTACTGGCCAACTTATTTATTTCGCACATGCGCACTCTATTTTGGTCAACACAAAATCGGGAAAGTTGCGCTACTGTATATACTGTGACTTTACTTCATGGTTGGCCCCTATACCGCCATCTCGTCTGTCATTATAAGGAAGAAGAAGAATAATAAAACGAGAACAGAAACGCTTTGATTTCTAAAGCAAACATTTTTTGAGTGTATTCGAAAAATAGATCAAAATGGAAACAAATTTGCAGGCGCATCTTTAGTGTTTGACAATAATGAGATTATTCTAGGAAGCATCAGATTATATTCCCTATAAAGCGGATGTTGAAATTATATCTATACAATTGCGAGAACAATTTTTCCAACAGTTATTCCTGTATTATCGTGAACTATTCCTAGTTTTATTGAGTTTCTTTGTAAACTACGAAGCACAACAAACGAGAAGATTCGGAGAAAAACCAAGTTTCCTTAACTTTAATAAAGTCAGAACATTCGATTTAGTCGAAAGATTCTTCGCGATGATTTTGATATTTCTGCGAAAATCGTATCGGTGATGCTTAAAACGACGAACTTGCCAGCGTGATATCACCGATAGGTGACGTTTGATTCCGAAGGTTACTCAACTGACAAATCGTCTCGGAAGTTTAAACAGGTTCAGACTAGGCCTTGTGTGTTGCATATTTGAATCTTTGTATACTGAAGAAAAAGTTGACATGGCTTCGGCGATATTGCAGGTAAGTGCAAAATATATAGATTATTTCATTAGCAGAACGAGAGTAATAATAAATTCAACATAACAATGATTTTGTAGAAAGCCATAGATCTTGTGACAAAGGCTACAGAGGAAGATCGCAATAAAAACTATGAGGAGGCCCTTAGATTATATGAACACGGTGTCGAATATTTTTTACATTCAATCAAATGTATGACAATGAGCACTTAATATAAAATTATGTAGTATTTGGCATTGCTCTAATATATTAACCCTACTAAAAAATTATTCCATTTAATAATGAAAATGATTATATGAATTTAGCACAATTGATATTTTTTATAATGGATTTCAGATGAGACACATGGAGATAAAGTAAAAGAAAGTATAAGAGCAAAATGTATGCAGTATTTAGAAAGAGCAGAAAAATTAAAAGCTTACTTGAAAAAAAGTAAGAAGAAACCAATTAAAGCTGGAGAAGATAATGTCAAGAATGAAGATAAAAAAAGTGACAGTGGTGATAGCGATACTGATAGCGATCCCGAAAAGAAAAAATTGCAGAACAAATTAGAAGGTGTTATAATGACCGAAGGCACAAATGTTAAATGGAGTGATGTGATTGGTCTTGACGGAGCTAAAGAAGCTTTGAAAGAAGCTGTTATTCTACCGATGCATTTCCCTTATCTTTTTACTGGAAGACGCATACCTTGGAAGGGTATTCTATTGTTTGGAGTACGTATATTCTAAAATTTGATAAAGTTAATTTGTAATATACACAACTCTTATATCATGATTTAAAATACAGGATATTAGAAAAAAAGATCATATATTTTGAGAACAGGTAGTATTGATCGAAACAAGAAAAGAAAAAAAAAGTAATTAGTATGGGTCCTACAATTAATATCTTCGTAAATACAGGCTATCTTTCTATTTGAGCTCTTTTTTTTTTCTTATTGGTTGTGTCACTTCTATAATGCAGTAAACAAAAAGAATACTTATTAATTTTGCAGTCAGCATTATAGGAGGTGCTCTATGCGGTTCCCATTCATTGTCACGCATTTTTCAACTCTATGTCTCAGAGAATCATGCATTCTTCCAAACATACCTGCCTGTTTTCAGATGCTACCTATCTATAAACCCAATGTTATGATCCAATGTTACTATAGAAAAACTAGTAAATACTATTTTGTGTACTGCATTGTAGAGGTGATATAACCAATAAGAAAAGGACAAAGAGCTCAAATAGAAAGATAGCCTATATCTTCAAAGATATTAATTGTAGGACCCATGTTAATTAGACTTTTTTTTCTTGTTTTGATCAATACTACTAAAAATATGTGACCCTTTTTTTAACATCCTGTACATTTTTAACCTGCCATTTATAGCCACCAGGTACTGGTAAATCATATTTGGCAAAGGCAGTAGCAACAGAAGCTAATCAAGCTACTTTCTTTTCTGCATCATCATCAGATTTAGTGAGCAAATGGTTAGGAGAGTCAGAGAAACTTGTAAAAAATTTGTTTGAATTAGCAAGACAAAAGGAACGTAGTATTATATTTATCGATGAGATAGATTCTCTGTGCTCGTCGCGTTCAGACAATGAGTCAGAATCTGCAAGGAGGATAAAAACAGAATTTCTAGTTCAGATGCAAGGTATGCTCAAAGAATTAATATTTTATTGGCCAAAGCAAATAAACAAACTGTTGCATTAATATTTTTTTATATCCCCCAAAAATAAAGGTGTAGGAAACCATAATGAGAATATACTTGTACTGGGAGCCACCAATATACCTTGGGTTTTGGATTCTGCAATCAGGCGAAGATTTGAAAAGAGAATTTACATTCCATTGCCTGAAAAACAAGCGCGCGCTGCTATGTTTAAGCTTCATTTGGGTAATACATCGCATTGTATAACAGAAGAAGATTTTAAAAAATTAGCAGCGTCTACTGAAGGTTACTCGGGAGCCGATATAAGCATCATTGTACGGGATGCTCTAATGCAACCAATTCGACAAGTACAAACGGCTACACACTTTAAGCGCGTTACAGGACCGTCACCGAAGGATCCTTCCATTATTGTCAATGATTTACTTACTCCATGCTCCCCTGGTGATCCAGCTGCTATAGAAATGAATTGGATGGAGATAGATGGCGACAAATTGTTTGAACCACCAGTTACTATGGTAAGTTTTTCAAAAACAATTTTTATTCTTTTTCTTTTTATACAGAGTGTTTTATGTTTAAACACGCTAATTTAAAATATGAATTTATACGATCTCAACATAAGTATATACAAAAAAATTGTCATGCTTTCTGTAATAAAGATTTAAACATACTATTACTTTACTTATTATAATCTAATAATAATTTTATAACTCCTATATTCAAAATGTTTAGTTGTCAATATCTTTTAAACAAAACATTTACGATCATATCTCAGGAACTTCATTTACTTATTATAAGATCATATTTTAAATTCATATTTTAAGTTAGAATATTTAATCCTAACACATCCTGTATATTTACAAAGAAAGTATATATATTTTAGTATGTGATATTATTATTTTAGAAAGATATGTTAAAATCGCTAGCAACGACCCGTCCTACTGTAAATGAAGAAGATTTGACAAAGCTAGAAAAATTTAAAGAAGATTTTGGTCAAGAGGGTTGAGAAGTTTTTGAGCTTTTCCGTAATTAAGTAAACGGATTTATAATTCATCTCAAAGTCTTTAGTTATCTACGCTCGCCTTATTCTTCTTACAATAACATTTAACTTAAATGTCTATATAAATATACTCGAAAACGAGTTTTTTCCCCTTATTTAGTTCTCTTTTTAAGCGCGAAACGACTACAACCTGGCATTATATAAGCTTATCGCTTATTTACTTGGCGAAAATAGTACATAAATTAAGAAATAAACCACATATATTTTGAGATAAAAATTCTTAGATTTATAAAACAGAGAAGGGGTAGATTATTTTTCATTATGAAATGCAAAGTAGAAAATGATGAAGTATATGACAAACTTTGTGTTTAATGCTTTATAATATAAAAACGCTTTGATATGTATCTAATAACTTAATTGCGTAAATCATATATTTATATAGATTTATATATAAATTTGTTTGCAGTTATTTTCTTATCACCTTTGATTATGGTTTTAACTGTTCTTGTGTACTATTTGATTATTCTGATTCATGCGGTTTCAATAGTGATCGCCCGCGGGAATCGAATTGCGCGGTTAGATAATTTAAGAAATTCACTAACTGAAAAAAATAGAGCATAATGAGTATTATGTAATACGCTGAGTGTTACATACACATATGTATTGCCGATATTCAGGATGGTGTTTTCATGTAAATTGTTTTTATTGTTAACTGAAAATAAATAACAAACTGTATACTAATATAAAAGTAATGAGAATTTGCGACGGTTTTAGGGAGGACAATGCCTTAGAAATTCCGAATCCATATAAACGACCGTTATGGTAATATCATCGCGAAATATTCGGACTACTTCACTTGGCAGAGTTAATGTTTGCGACAATTTGGCATGATCTATTCCATATTCTGTACCACCTAAAGCGTTTCTCAGTAAATGCGTCGCTGCGTTGTTATCAAGAGGTTTCTTTTTCAAGCCTTCCTTACGTTGCAGCAACATTTCGTTTATATCCAACAATTTCATATTTTTACGGGGTAATCTCAATGGACTAAGCGTAACTTTGCCGCTCATATGTTCTCCTACCAAGCGTACAGCTTGCAATGGTGAAATCAGTTCCCACAATCCATCACTAGCTATTATAAGAAACTTGTCTCTAGGTGTCAACCTATGATATTTGACATCTGGATTGGCCGTTAGGTACGGTGGTGTATGATAATTCGGAGGAATCGCTGCCTTTCCGAAAAACGGCACAATTTTTTTCATAATATCCTTATTCCATTTATAGCGAAAATCACCTAGCGAACGAAGTGGCGCCAATTGTCCGAGCAGTCTTTCCATTTTAATCACAGTTGATCTCTCGTTTGATGGATGTTCTGACAAGATTCTCTCTACCTCCGCGCGATTATCGGCATTATGCTCTACCGTCATTATTTTAGCCGACCATCCATCATTCTCTACACAATAAATTTTATTGATGTATTAATCATAATTAATATTAAATAAACAAAGAGGTAACAAAAAAGAAAAGCATTGAACCTGAGAGCACCCCTAATACGGCGTTACAATCGCCAACGCCAGCAACATGGAGATGAGGGCCGTCTATATGAGCCACAACAGCTACTGCACCTGACATTGCAACAGCAAGAGTTCTTGCATCTTTCCTATTCAGTTGCGACAAAGCTTCGTTCGATAAGTCATTATCTAGTCTAAGAAACGCATTTTCCAAAGCCATTTCCATTTGAAATTCTTTCCTGATATCTGATTGTACCAAGTCTTTTACAAAATTTAAAAAGCTTGCCTGGTAAAGATCTTTAATCTCGGCTACAAATTCTACTTTATCATTGAAGGTTTGAAGCAATTCTAATTTTTTGTCAGAATTAACAGAATTCAAGTATTGTTGCAGTAATTTTGTTGGTAACAAACACGCTGATATATAACAAAATAGTCTTTTCGATATCACTTGTGCACAGGCACCACCGCCATGACCATCGAAAACTCCCAATAATACACCTATAAATAAGAGATTGGGAAAACATAACTAGTCATAATGCATTTGTAGTAATATGGATCACCCAAGAATCTGTGAATGTCAATGTCTGGCAATAAAATTATGTCTATCTGAGTTATCTATGTAAGTAAAATTTGGATTAAATTTTTTTCAAACAGATATAAAATTTCGTGAAATTAAAAAAAAATAAACTAAAGTTTTGCTCCTGTATACCTTTAGTTAATAAACATTGGGCCTCTGCTCGTGTATCTTCTATAGGATTATTAGATGCTAATTGATTGGAATCGTAATATTTTACAGAACCCAAACCAGAGAATTCTTTGGTATATTCATTAGCTTGCAAAATGTTTGTGACCTGTAACAGAGTAACATGTGTAATGTAAATATACATACACACAAAATATATAAAAAAAATAATAATAGGGTGTTCACAAAATACTTGGACAAACTTTGGGGGTGAGTTCTCCATACAAAAAAAAATATCATAAATATATGTCCGGAAATACCTAATTTATGAGTTATAATCAAAAGAGTACATTCAATTTAGTACTATGACCTGACCTAAATCCATTAATTTTTATCTGTAAAGACACTTAAAAGCCCTCGTTTATGCAAATTGAAAATGAAGAGATGCTTCACCAATGTATCGTAGATGCCTGCAAAACTTTTGCAGCTATCATGGGATCTTTAAAAGGTTGCAATAGTCCATGATCCAATGTGTCCATGCGTGCATTAAAGCAGGTGGAGGACATTTTGAGCATTTGTTATGAATTGTGAGTAGATAAACAATTGAATTGAACATGTATTACATTGATCGTGTGTCATTGTAGACATTTTCTGTCAGTTTTTATCGTTGAAATCTTTCGATTATAACTCATAAACCAAATACTTCTGGACATATGTTTATGACATTTTCTTCTTGTTTTTGTGTAGAAAATTCACTCCCAAAGTTTGTTGAAGTATTTCTGAAATACCCTGTATATACATATAATATATGTATATAAATAATAATATACATTATGTATATATATATATATATATATATATATAGAAGTTTGGCACGTACCTCTTGTGGCGTGAGCCGTGGTAATGCCGTATATAACCGTTGGAAGCTTCTGCTGCCGCGGGACTCACTTGTTCTAACATGTACATGTCGAAAATTTTTAACAAAATTGCAGCCAACTTTCTGCAAGACCATCCCGAATATAGCACACCTTGACACCGTGCTAATATTCTGTTTTTTCTCCGTTTTTCCAATACATTTTCTCTATTTCTTACAGGTTAAGGATAAAAATATATAACAATGCGTTCGTAATTGTTATGCAGACTTTCTTATATCGCAATTTGCGTAATAAATGAGTTTTTTTTCTCTTTTCTCGAAAATTAATTAAAGAAGCGAAAACTTTTCAAATAATAAATGATTCATATACGTCTTATTATTGTTTTTTCGTCTATCTAAATGGCTGGCAGGCTTCGATATGAATTTGTCTATACGTCACTACTAGTGTTTTCAAATGTAGCAGGTTTAGGGCCAATTTCACCAAGCTCGTTTATGTCCGTATCAGACTACGCATTGAAGATTGAAATTTGACCAATCAGAATAAAGAAATTTTAGTCCTTTTTGTTCTGATTAGTCAAATTCCAATCTTTAATCTTCAATTTTCAATGCGTAGTCTGATACGGGCTTTAGGGTGCGAACCTATGCAGCGGAATAGCGTAAAGCCCGTGTTACACTACGCATTGCGGACTCGAATCGGATTTGGAGTACGGACTGCGAATCGTCATTCATCCATTTAGAGCGAAGTACCCAAGGATCTGATTGGATGATTGACGATTCGCAGTCCGTAATCCAAATCCGATCCGCGTCCGCAATGCGTAGTGTGACACGGGCTTAATGGCCCTCGCACACTGATCGCAATGAGCGATGAGCGATGTGCGATATCCAATGAGAGCTCTATTTTTTCGGAAAAACAGAAACCGAGCGCGCCATTTTTCAAATTATTCATTTTTCCTTAATTCATTTAAGAAATATTAACACTAAAAGAAAATGATTTAAATCAAACGGTAAATTGTAAACTTTTTGTTTGGTTACAGTATGTGTGTAATTCATTCAGCTATATATACAAGGTCCAATTAAAGTTCAATATAATTGTTTTAAAAAACTTGGCATATTTGAAAAAATTAATAAATTTATTGGATTCAAATAAATATTTATTTCAATACTCTTTTACACATCATTTATTCAAAACAAGTAAATATTTATTTAGTTTGAAAAGGATTTCTTACATCAAATAAATATTTTTTCAAATCAATGTTATTAATTTCAAATAAATGATGTGCGAAGAAATGATAAACATTTATTTGATTTCAATTTTTTTTTTCAATGTTAATATTTTTTAAATGAATTAAAGAAAACTGAATAATTTGAAAAATGGCGCGCTCGGTTTCTGTTGCGCAGGCGCTAAATACTTTTGCGCATGCGCACAATGTCTTGACATCCCGCAAAATGTATAATAAGGACCAATTTCATCAAGTCCGGTTAGATGAACCGACGGTTAAAATTAGCAGGGTGGCCAACAGAAAATAGAGGTGAAGGAAAATCAAGCATTCATGTCATTTCAGTTAACCACTCTGCTAATTTTAACCGTCGGTTCATCTAATCGGACTTGGTAAAATTGGCCCTAAAGCAATTATTAATTTTTTTTCTCAATAAATACTGTAGATAATTAATTTTTAAAGATGGAGCAAATTTAAACAAAAAAGAAGCAATTTTTCTGTGTCTTGAAAACCTTCAAATTCTAATGATTTTCATTTATATTGACATTTACATTGTTATTAACTTTATCATTTATTTATAAAAAAAGTAAAATGGAGCAAATTATAAAAAATGTATATTATGAAAAAACAAATTAAGCTGATTTTTTTCATGTATTGTAAGTTTAATTACTATGTAGGTCGCTAGCTGGGAGATTGGTGGTGAGCGAGAGAGAACGTAAGGGGCACGGAACAGAGTACGTCCTTTTCTACGTGCACCTTGGCCCGCACTCCTCAACATTCGGTCTAGATATACTATGTCTATGGCCGGTATTCATAGGCCGGTATTCATAGTCAGTTCTTATTTCAAGACCGTCTT